TTTCCATACTAACTAAATGTATGTTAGAAAATAACTGTTCTTTTTTATTCACTTCGCGCATTTTTTTTTTTTTTTTCAAACGGAGCCTAAAGAAGAAAGTAGCATAAATTTTATTTACCATTCTTGAGGTTTGTCAATATTTGACATAGACCCCTTGACGTTTCATAATTTCACTTACGTTCCTTAATGTTCTGGTATATGTAATAGATCCCCCCGCCTAACCATTTTGCCTTTCCGGGAATGACAACAAACATTCCATGGGCAAAACGAAAAAAAAAAAAAAAGAAGTCATAGATAGAGAGGTAAGTGGAATAATGAAACGTAAAAGGGGTGGGATATTGACAAACTTTAAGGCTCCGTTTATTTAGATGTAAAATTTATTTCATAATTTTATTTTTTTTATTATCTTTTGGTGTTTGGTTGTCGTAAAATATTTACGAAGAAAAATAAATTAAAATCTAATGAAAATAATATCCCCATCAATTTTCGGCAAGTTAATTTACACGTCCCATTCGATAAATTTGACCTCAATCTTGATTTAGACTTTTACCCAACACCAAAAAATAAAAAAATATATTTAAAAAAAAAAGGTATTTTACACCAAAACAAACGGAAGCAAAAAGGAGAACCCAATTGGGACTTGCTCATAATCTTAGCTCCTTTAAGCTTGAAGCAGCCATGGTGTAGCTACAAATTAGCTGAAAATGCTGTCTTCATTCATCTCAATGGACTTATATGGCACAGGCCTAGTGGCCCAATTAGGTCCATCCATCTAGGAAATGACACCATTGTGTGGGCTCTGTTTGGGTCATAAGGTTATATGACCATCCTAATTTTAGTTTTGTAGATTCATGAAAAGAAATACAAAATTTATCTAAATTTATGGTTGCATTTATGAAGGTGTTTCTTTTCTTTCTTTTTTCTTTCTTTTTTTCTATTAAATATAGAGTAAGAAAAAATAAAATTGTGATATGTATAGTTAGACAAAAAAGAATAGTGATTTTCTGATGTTGTTACAACCATCCATAATGTGATATAAAATCTCTCTTTATTACTCTGAACAGAATGGAATAGTTACAAAGGTGTTTCTATTTATTAAAAAAAAAAATGCTGATTTTCTAAAAGCATATCAAAGTTGTTACAACACATTGATAATGTGATGTAATATCATCTGAAAGAGGAAGGTGAAGCTGAGGCTATGTTTGACAGGGAGGATAATGGAAGGACGGAAAGGGGAAAGAGAGGAGAAAGGAACAAAATTTGAATCATAGCAATAGTGGGACGGGATTGCACGTGTCCGGAAGTGAATTATGAAGTGTTCTAGGAGACCCAACACCATGGGACCCAAAAATGTGGAAATACAGTTAGTCATTTGATGATCCTCTAGTAATTTTTTCAGTAGCTAACTAAGAACATGAATTCTCAAATACACGTTGTAATAGGGACGGAAAAAACTTCCCATGTATTGTTTCGAAAGCTCTGAGATTTTAGTTCCTATCCATTTCTTCCTGAATTTCTTCAAACAAAGATTCACGAGTAGAGACTACGCGCAAAATCTCTGTCATCACACCAGTTGCAAAAAAACTGTTAAGCAATAAGAATAATTTTTTTAAAAAAAAAAATTCAATCTATTATTAATGTCATGATGATACAAGGCTACAACAGAAGATAAAAAGCAATAAAGCAAGTTCAGACTTCAATGTTCCAATAATGAAGAAGAAGAGTGGCATAAATTTTTTAAGGGTTCAGACACTGCCTGCCCACATTGTTCGAGGATTTCAATCAATGGTCCAGCAAACAGTGCATCTTCTCTTGTGAGAAAGCTATAAAACACGCCATTGACAGTCCGACAAGCCATCCTCGTCAGGATCTTGATGTACTGGTCGATTGAGAATGCAAAATCATAGATAATTACAACTTCGAATTCTGCTAAATCGGTGGTACTGATGTGTTCCACGTTGATCACGGAGACTGGAGATCTCAATTTACTGCCAAAAATTAAGTACAAATATGAGACAAGCAAGTCGACTTATTGTGTACAAGAACCTAAAGAAAGGAAAATACTAAGCAGAAAAAATGTATAAGAATGACTGGCATAGCTTCTAAGAAAATCGTAAAAGAAAAGAAAGGAAGGGAATTCTGCACTTTCTTCTCTTCAATAAAATACTTTATTTTCATTTTATGAGAATACCCTAAACCCTAAAACCCGAAGTCATTTATTGAGAATACCGATGAAACACTTATATTAAACCGATTAGCAATTTAGCAGACAAAGAAAGCATAATATGACTCCAAGCAACTAGGAAAAGGCCTAGTTGAGTTTTAAGGCAATAATACTAAAACAGATAAAGAATCCAAAAATGGACCTTTTTTTTTCAAATGAAGAGCTATCACAATTTTTTTTTTTTTTTTTTTTTTAAATTATTGTTGCCCATCATCCAAATGAATCAGTCTTAGACCATCATCCATTCACTAAAACACTAATATCAATGTTTATTTTTACTTGAAATGAATTTCAGTCTTGCACCATCACCCATGATGATGGCTCGGCTTGGCTCCCCCTTTCCTCCCCATTTATTTTGTGCCTAATCAAGCAAAACCTTGGAGATGCACCACATGCCTGTGATAGCATGAGGAATAGAGGGAGAAGAAGAAGGGAGCCATTTTTGTTGGCTGCTTAAATTCACTTGAGGGTTACAGCAACTTATATGAAATAATCTAGGCTGCGAAGTGGCAAATAAGAAATCCAACAAGGTCTGTGGATTGTATAAATGACTCCGTCCAATTTAAGGAATGAAGGATTGTATAAAAACTTTACAACAGGTAAACAAGGCAAACAAGTTTGAAATTTACCTGTTTTGTACTTCTCCAAATTGAGTTTGCTGAGATGGAGTAACCCTTTGACTTGATGGAAGTAACTGACATATGAAAATCGCTATCCTTCCCAACTACAAACAGCACCTTAAAGAAATCGGTGCCAAGTCTATTGCCACAAGCCTGATCCAAAATTTGCATGCTCTGTCAAAATCATTTGAGACAAGTATTAGGTAAATGATACAACAACTGCCTAACAATCTATAATATTCTTTATTGATGACCAATAAGAATCTAATCCTTAACCCCACGCCTCCTTTTAAGATGTCATGCTACCAATTACCATTGTGTTACAATAGATTTGGCAAAATAATTTATAGTTTCTTTCCTCAGTGTTCATGGGGGGTTGGGGTAAGAGGGAGGATGTAATGTTTGTGATTTATATATATATATATATATATTTTGTGGTGGAAAAATTAGAAAGGTGGGATTTTGTGAGTGGAGGGACCCACCACTTGATTTTTAATGGCCAAGAGGTCATTCTAGACTCATTTTCATTCTTTCTCCCGTGAGCTCTCTTTTCTCTCATTCTTGGTATTTTCTTTCTTTCTTTTTACATCATAGCTTCAATCTTTAATTACTCCTTTATTTTTAGGAATTTTTGAAAGCCGTTTACGGCAAAACGGAGAGCGCGGCGAGACCTACACATAGATGCAAGCAATTTCTTGTTTGGTGCACTCTAGGAATTTCGAATTTTGGGACCCATTTGGAAGTTTTTGCATCTAAGTGAGGTAGGGGTGTTTAATACACAACTTCTTGGATTTTAGTGAATTATTTTCCATGTGTTGTTGTCTAACATGCTATAATTGTGATGAATTTTCTTTAATATGATTTAATTGTTGTATATGAAAATTATAATTAAGTGTATTATTGTTGTTGTGTGAGAAAAACATGCCTAATGTGTTAAATTCCATACCTTTGGTGCTTATTAATTTGTTAGAAATTTCTATGTGATAGTATGTTGAATTGTGTAATATGAAATCTCTGAATATGTGTATTAATTAATTTGTATGAAAAGCATGCCTAATGTGTTAAATTCCACACATTTGGTGCTTATTAATTTACTAGAAATTGCTATGTGAAAGAATGTTGAATTGTGCAATATAAAATCTTTTATTGTCATTACATTGGAAAAGTATGAAATGTTCATGCATGACATTGGGCATGAAAAAGGGAAAAATGTTTTGAAAGCAAATGAAACTATTTTGGGAAAATTGTTTTGAAAAGTGTTTACGAAAACCCGGACGCCTTTGAGGTGCCTAGTAGTCCGTGGAGTTAGTGTGATCTAGAGGGGGTTAGAGACAGACTCTAGTGTGGTTGAGTTAGCTAGACGATGCCATGGAGGTGCCACGTGGTCGGCGAAGACCAGCCAACCCCTCCTTCGTGACGCCTTTGAGGTGCCTTGGGTCGGATTACACTAACGGTTTGAAAGTTGAAACGGAAATATTTCGGAAATGGGGAGCGACATGAGCATGACATTGCACTTAATTGGCATACATTGTGTATTTGTGATTTGGATGACATTTGTGTTTATATTGGATGTTGTGGTTATAGTTTACATCCCCGGTATAGTATGATTCCATTTTCATACTTTGTGGATTCACGAGGTCATAAGAGGTGTATCTTAGGCACCTCCTACTGAGCAATTTGCTCACCCCTTGTATTTAACTTTTTTCAGGATACGGACCGAAAGTGGCGGACGACGCTCCTCCACAGGGTTCGATGGATTACTAAACCGTTTTGATATACTTTGTAGCTATAATCTCATTTTATTATTTATTTATTATTATTATTTTTTTATTATATAAACTCTGGGATGACACCTATATTATGTATTGACATAGGACAGGAAGATAGTGTCCTTAGTTGACCTCGGATTCGTGTAAGGATCCAGTTAGCAATTCGGACCCCCGGGTTCGGGTCGTTACAGAGGAAGCCTTCAACAAATGGGCAACCATAATGTTATCCATGATTATCATTGGCACAGGCAACACAAAACACCGCTAATGTCTTTCACAAAAGAACATCCAATTCACAAATCTTCAAACCAAATTTATCTTGTTTCTCATTAATTTATAAGAAGCTGGTTCACTCCATTCTATTTATTCAGGAAAAAAAGGTTGATGAACCGATACAGATCATTATTAGTTTTTTTTTTTTTCCTTGCGTATTAGCATCAAAGGCACAAAGTTAAGGATTTGAACAATGATGCCAATTCCTTTGATAGCTTTTCTTCTGGGTCACACGCGCACAGACTGGATGATGCAAGCACTTTGACTAGCAATAGAATCATTAAGTGCTAATCTGCAGATTGATCCCCGCAGAAGGTTGCGTACAAGTGGAACGGACGCATAATTCAAGCAATTACTGAAAACTATAGTTTGGGGATTTCCAGAGATGGCTTGCTTAATGGACTGAATAATGTCAAAGTAACCACCTTCAATAAAAGCTTCCAAATCATCAACCACCTGATAAGTACCAAAAAGGGATCAGAAAGAGATGATAAAGGTCAAAATAAAAAGTGTATGAAAAGTAAGGCCACTTATTAAAAAAATGTATAAATGTATACTGCTACAAAGAGTTCTATTACATCATTTTAAAAGAACTTGCAGCTCTTTATAAATCATATTCAAACGGTTGCTCAATGTGGGTAACACATATTGCGGTAAGAGTGTGTGGTTTTCAGTGAGCCTGGAAAATGCAGTAGGGTGTCCAAAACACGTCACTCACACACATATATAACACAACGAATAGAAGAAAAGAGATTCCCAGAAAAACAAGTGTGTATACTGCAAAAGCACCTCAACTTAAAGTTCCCTGCTCTGTTGCTAGACAGAGACTGAACAGCTAATTAGCACATAAGTTGCAACCTTTTATTTCAGAAAAGTAAGAGGAAAACACACAAGCTTAATACAATTAAAACATTGCACAAAACAGGGGAGAGAAGTACAGAACTTTTACCAACAAGAATCCGTTAGTTAGAAACAGGTGGGGAAGACAGAAAGTAGAATGAAAAATCAAGAGAAAGTTCCCAAAGAAAAGTTCAACAACCAAAGAAGCAAACATAAATCAATAACTTTTAATTTACAACTGCTGCCTTTCAATTTCCTCATTTTTTTATCTATAACATAGTAAGAAATGATGATGTGAAAAGAAGTAGGAGAAGTAAGATATTAGGTTTCAAAAAATAGATTGAATGTCATTAATAATTACAAAATAATAATAATTGGAGGAGGTAGGAGCATTACCAGTACGGAAACCCCAGATATGTCAATGGCCTTCAAGGAAACAAGTTCCAAAAGCCTCTTAGGTGTTGATATGATGAACTCTGGCTCGCAACTCTTTAGACTGTGGGAGAAAAGCAGTTTTGTGTAAGAGAAGAAATGAGAGGAAGTTACTTAGCAAAAGAACAAACGACAGGAAGGCGAAAATATGGTCTTAAAATAAATTAAAAAACGCATAAAATATAAGCCAAAGGCAGGTACTGAATATGATAAAATATTCAAATCTGGTGGCTAAGCAAGTAAAAATTTTCTACCAAAGAAACAAAGAGCAAATAGAAACTGTAACAAATACACGCACATAAAACAACAAGAATGCATTGCAGTTAAGCGACATATGAGACGTGAATTCACAATCCTACTCTTAGGACAAAATAGTCCCTCGCAAGATCATCACTTGCACCAACAATAACCATAATTCTTGCATCAAACAGAATTGCAGTTAGGCCGACACAAGAGATGTGAAATCATAATCCTATTTCCATGGTAAGTTTGACCCTATTAGATCATCACATGCACAAACAATATACCCAATTCTTTCATCAAACATGTTAAAGAAGACATATGTACCAAGATCACCGTGCTCGTACACATGAATGGAGCTAGGAATTTTGTTCGGGGGATATTAAGCATGATTTTTTTTTTTTTCAACTAACAGTGCAGCAAGACAAGAAGCCAAAAAATAATGTGTAGTACCAGTGCATTAATGTGTTTTCGTGACTTGTTTATCTTTTTCACCAATTTGCCAACGAAAACACAAAACAGAAAATGATTGCCAAACACGCCCTAAGTGTATAAAATTTCAATAATAAAATTAAAGGACAAATAAATAAAAAATGAATAAGATAGAGAAAAAAGGTTATTGCACATGAATCATACATGAGTGCAAGAAAAAGAAAATTTTTAAGAAGAAAAAGAAAAAGAAAGATGAAGAAATAAATATTAGAGAACTTCGAAGGGGAAAAAATTAGGTTTTGATTGAAAAAAGAGAATGCAAATTTTTTTTAAGAGCATAAAAAGAAATTTGAAGAAGAAGAGTAAGAAGGAAAAGAATTAAAAAATTTTTTTTAAAAAAAGATAAATTTAGGGGAGGCATTTTGTAAATTTTTACAAGTTATATGCATAAAATAAAATAAAAACTAATGGGCTAGCCTAGGCCCATTCTGGCTCGGTCCCTCCCCCAAACAGATTAAATGATTTGAGGCACCAGAATGCCTGAAACAACAACTGTGTGAAATAAGCGAGCTAATTCAGGCTAAAAAATACTTATAAAAAAAATAAAAAATAAAAAATAAAAAATATATAAAAAAATCAGGCTAAAAAATGCACAGAACAAAGTTTAGATTCTCCTCCAAGTTAATATTTGTTGCAGAAGGCCATCAAAATGAGGGTTACTAGGGGCAATCTCTGATTGCATGTATACAGCAAACATCATCAAATGACATAAGCACAATCAACCTTGCTTGTTTCTCAAGCATATGCAGACTCTTTTCAGTCCACACGCATGTGTGTGTTCATGCACACATGCGTCAACAATCTTTCAAGGCTGATCTTTGTAGCACTTTGTACAAACCGGATATTCAAAATTAGATATATATATATAAAACAAAATGCTGTTGTCTTGCATGTGTCAACATCTTACACTTACCCATGAATTTGGTGATCTAAGGAAGAACCAGAAGGTAGACTCACTGCATGTATTCCAAGAGCTTTCAGAGGCTTGCACACTGAGCGTACCTGAGTATGATTGAAACGCAGCCAGAACAAACTACATTAATGGCATAATGACTAATAAGGCTTAATACAAGTCACATAAAAATTTAGTTATCTTTTTCTTTTGGTTGCTAAACAGATCCCTTCAAGTTCTAGAAAAAAGGTTGGTTATTATTCCAAGGATATGAAACTATATCATCAGCTTTCATCAGATCTAAAATAAGTCCAGTTGTTACTTCCTCAAAATAATAAATGGAAAAAGATTCTGTAAAAAAAAAAATGGTGTGATGTATTGCCCTTCTTTCTTGCCCTCTCGTGGTCAGTTAAATGACGAGGGCTTTAGGAGTTAAAGAGGGAGTTGTCAACTGGTGAGATTTAAGAAGGTGTGAGATATAGCCTTCTTATGGCTCGTGGTACATATGGAGTAAAATGAGAATAAGAACTTTTGAAAGCTCAGGTTTCTAGTTTTGAGACTGAAACTGATTTTGTTAATAACATTCTCTTTTTGAATTAAGGGGTCCGATTCCAATTATATTGATTCTTTTGTCGGTTTTTGGGAGGGCATGTATTTAGGGGTGTGTAGTACGTTCTGTATGCTTCTGTTTACATTTGTTCTGGCAATCTTAGTGGATTTATTTACTTATCCAAAAATTAAAAGAAGAAAAGAACGAAGATGCATTTTTCCAAATTATTTTGAGATTTCCACAAACAATAATTAAATCAATTAGAATTAGATTTTTAGATTTCAGGCACTCCAACAGTCAACATTCTTTCAACTACTTCTATTATTTTTTCTACAATGACTAAAATCATAAAGGCAAATTTACCTTCAAATGCCATGGAACACAACACATAAGAATTAAATTCTCAAGGGAGAGGTTAAAAGCTGAAAAAAAAAACTGGGCCAAAAGAGATTAATATGTCATAAGAAAAACAACAACTATGATTGAGAATTCTAGGAGAATAAATGTTTGCTAACCTTAGTGGCTTTCTCCTTGGATGGCACAAGGTACAAAAGAAAGGGACTGTTGAATGATAGACCTTCTTTCTCCAAACTTGCGATTCTATCAGCAGCAGTTGAAGTTATCCAAGCAATCTGCTGCGTGGTAGAACAAACCCCACTTGTCTCTAATATATCTTTTCCAGCTGAATAGCATTTCCAAAACTCAAATCCCCACGTGTCAACAAACAAAGGCTTATCCTCTTCACCGCTGAAGATCCCATCGTGCCACAAGGCATTTTTTATTGAATTCAAGCACAGAAGTAAAAAATTTGAAGGACAGCCCGAATTTTCAAAGTCATGTCCTTTTGCTGGCTTGATTGTGATTTTCTGGTCCACTTCATCCATTGATATATCTGATATTATCTGCTCATTCACCGAATTCTTAACCTTTACCATTTCCTGTTCTTGATGCTCCATCTTCACATGATTTCTACCTGGGGTCCCTTTACTTTGTAGAACACTGTTCCCATTAACCGACATCGTGTCATCTGCTAGGGATTGCACAAGCTTCTTCATTTCTTTCTTCTAGTATCCAATTTCCCATGCCTATCATTAAAGGGATCCTCAGTGGTACGAAGGCTAAAGCACATTCCCTGTATCAATGACAGATTGACACATACTATGTTACACAACAAAGATTATGTAGTTCAGAGGGCTTTATGACAAAAAGAACAATCCATTAATTTTAGATACAATAAGAACATTATGACTAAAGCAGATAATGGAAAAAAAAAAAACCTAGTATAAAATAGTAATATTTTACAAACCAGGCAAACATAAATATCAACACAAATCAATAATCAGAGGATTCGCAGTGGTTTTAAAATTTTAAAAAAATAAAAATAAAATAAAATAAAATTATTGATGGAATTTACACCAAATTATCTATGATTCTTTTGATAGAAAAACAAGTACCAAGGTATATAAAGATTAGATAGTTATATTAAGAACCGAAGATAGGATTCTTGGTGCAACTGATATCAACCCTTAACAATACTATTCATCAAAACACCTAAAGAAACCAAAACCAGAATTTTTTTTTTTATTTTTTCAGATTTGCAAATCTCAACAAATAAATAAATAAAAATCAAATTTACACCACCAAGTTCTTTTCTTCCTGATGAAAAAATCACATACTCCAAAACCCAATTCAATGGAAGTCCCAAAATAACAAAAACCCAATAATCAAAGCTCAAAAAATCAATAATTTGAGACAGAAGTACTGACAGATGAGGCGGTTACCGGACTTTTTACGCTTTTTTGCGGCGATTATAGAGGCGACACGACCAGAGACCTTGGAAGTTTCCTTATTATTCTCATCTTTGTTCCTTTTTTCCCTTATTGAATCGCCCCCTTTTGCCATCGTTAAGCACAGAGACTTCACAGCCTTCTTCAACTGAAGAGGTTTCAAGACGAAGGCGGTTCGTGAAGTTGTATTTATAGGCATTGGACTACTGAGTTACTGGTAGGTCTGAAATATTAGAGGGAGGCCATGGGTATTATGGTCATTTGGAAAACGTTTCCTAAATTGTAATGTTGTCTGTGACGATACGCGTGTGTGTTTTGAGTAATATGTAATATAGAAATGCAAATTACCTTGCACAGAGAGAAAAAGAGAGGACACGAAATAAAGAGGCATGGAGAACTTTTCTTTTGTTTCAGTACATATCATCAAGTAGTCCACATTCATAGCCTTACATAGGCATACACTGAGGCTTCCCTTATAAGCCATACCTCACATGAAGCTTCCACTGTACGCTTCACAAAAAGATTCCTTTATAAGTCTCAAGTGTGATCTCATGGCTGATCTAGACATTTGGGGACCCCATATATGGGATATAACACTCCCTCTTGGAGTCCACAAAACTATATTAAGAATATACCTCGTTAAAACTTTACTAAGGAAAACCCAGTGGGATAAAATCTTAGTGAAGGAAAAAGAATACAGTATTCTTGTGTATATGAAAATGGTATTGCATAGGTTAAAACTGCCTCATTAAAACCTTGCCAGGAAAACCCAATGGGATAAAACCTGGACGAAGGAAAGAGTACAGTATGTTAATACCTCTTTGATCAATTGCTCCCCCTCATTAGTTCAACCCTGAAGATCCTTTAGTTGACGCATTCCAATGTTGTCCACTAACTTCTTGAATGTTGTAGTCGGAAGCGCCTTAGTAAATAAATCTGCTAGATTATTACTAGAGCGTATCTGCTGAACATCGATATCACGGTTCTTCTGGAGCTCGTATGTAGAAAAGAATTTTGGTGAAATGTGCTTGGTTCTGTCACTTTTTATGTATCCTCTTCTTACCTGTGCAATATATGCTGTATTATCTTCATATAATATTGTTGGACTATCTTTGATTGGGGAGAGTCCACATGATTCTTGAATATGTTATATAACAGATCTCAACGAAACACACTCTCCACCTGCTTCATAAATTGCGAGTATCTCAGAGTAATTTGAGGAAGTTGCAATCATGGTCTGTTTCATAGATCGCCATGATATAGCAGTACCACCACAAGTAAACAAGTACCCTGTTTGTGATCGGGCTGTGTGAGGGTTAGAAAGATAACCTGCATCTGCATATCCGATCAACTGGGGCTTTGATTGTCTTGAATAAAACAATCCCATATCAGTCCTTCCCCGAAGGTAACGCATAATGTGTTTGACCCCATTCCAATGTCTTCGAGTTGGTGTAGAACTATACCGTGCTAGTAAGTTGATTGCAAATGCTATATCAGGTTTGGTACAATTTACAAGGTACATTAAAGCACCGATTGCACTAAGATATGGTACTTCAAGACCAAGAACTTCTTCGCCTTCTTCCAGAGGACGAAAATGATCTTTCTTCACATCGAGTGATCGGACAATCATTGGAGAACTCAAGGGGTGAGCTTTATCCATATAAAAGCGCTTCAGGACTTTTTTGGTGTATGTTGACTTATAGATAAGAATTCCACTTGGTAAATGTTCGATCTGCAGGCCGAGACAAAATTTTGTTCTACCAAGATCTTTCATTTCGAATTCTTTCTTTAAATAATTAGCAGTCGTGGTGAGCTCTTCAGAAGTTCCCACAAGATTTAGATCATCAACATATACAGCTATAATGGCAAATCTAGATTTTGATTTCTTGATGAAAATGCATGGACAAACTTGATTATTCACATATCCTTCTTTGAGTAAATACTCGCTGAGTTGATTGTACCACATGCGTCCGGATTATTTCAATTCGTACAAGGATCGTTGTAACTTGATGGAATACATGGTATGTGGTTTCAAGCTATTTGCTTCAGACATTTTAAATCCTTCAGAGATTTTCATATATATATCACTATCTAGTGATCCATATAAATAAGCTGTAACCACGTCCATCAGACGCATATCTAGTGCTTCTGAAACTGTCAAACTAATCAAGAAGCGAAATGTGATTGCATCCATCACAGGAAAGTATGTCTCCTCATAATCAATACCAGGTCTCTACGAGAAACCTTGGGCTACAAGTCAGGCTTTGTATCTTACAATTTCATTCTTCTCATTATATTTCCTTACAAATACCCATTTGTATCCTACAGGCATGACATCTTCAGGTGTCTGGACTACAGGTCCAAATACTTCACGTTTTGCTAATGAGTTTAGCTCTGCCTGTATTGCTTTTTTTCATTTTGGCCAATCATTTCAACATCGACACCCTTCGATGTTTTGAGGTTCAGGGTCCTCATTAGCACCTGCAATATCAAGAGCAACTGCAAAGGAGAATATATTGTTAATAATAACTGTATTTCTATCCCATAATTCTCTATAGTTTATTGAGATCTCATTATTTTCAGGTACCAGTGCCTCTTCCGGGGCTTGTGCCACTTCTGGGGCATGCATATCTTCTGTGGCTACTTTCTTATAAAATTTAGATTGATCAATCATTTTTGTTGTTCCTTTTGCAAGTGTAACCTCTTCAGTAGCGCCAATTCCTTTTGCAAGTGTGACCTCTCTAGGAGCGCCAATTTCTTTATTTGATTTCTCTTGTACTTTCCTCTTCCGGGGAACAGTGTCTTTTGCACTGACTGGTCTACCACGCTTCTGGTGTGTCTTAGATGCATTTGCAACAACACTGACAGACTGTCCTACAGGGACATCAATTCTTGCTAGAATGTTTACAGCTGGTATATGTGATTTCATCACTTTCTTTGTGTCAGTGAATGCATCGGGTAATTAATTTGCAATACTTTGCAAATGAATGATCCTTTGAACTTCTAGTTCACATTGGTTTGTGCGAGAATCGAAATGAGATAAAGTCGAGACATTTCAATTAATAAATCAATGCTCTTCTGGCTTTTTCTTTTCTCCCCCTAATGAAGGGAAAACGGCCTCATCGAAATGACAGTCAGCAAACCGTGTCTTAAACACATCACCTGTCAAAGGTTCAAGATATCTAATAATAAATGGAGAATCAAAACTTACATAAATATCAAGTCGTCGTTGAGGACCCATTTTGGTGCGTTGTGGGGGTGCAATGGGAACATATACAGCACAACCAAAAACTCGTAAGTGAGAGATACTTGGTTGTTGACCCATCACAAGTTGTAGTGGTGAAAAACTATGATATGCAGTTGGTCTAATGCGAACAAGTGATGCTGCATGTAATATCGCATGTCCCCAAGCAGAAACAGGTAGTTTAGTTCTCATGAGTAATGGTCTAGCTATTAACTGAAAACGTTTGATAAATGATTCTGCAAGACCATTTTGGGTATGAGTGTGTGCAACATGATGTTCAATAAGGATGCCAATTGACATGCAATAGTCATCAAATGATTGAGATGTGAATTCTCCGGCATTATCAAGACGAATAGTCTTGATTGGATAATCCAGAAATTGTGCTCGTAATCGGATTATTTGAGCAAGGAGTCGAGCAAATGCAATATTACGAGTAGAAAGTAAACTTACGTGTGGCCATCGTGTTGATGCATCAATTAAGACCATAAAATACCAAAATGGTCCACACGCTGGATGAATTGGTCCACATATATCCCCTTGAATTCGTTGTAAAAATGGTGGGCATTCAACAACGACTTTGGAAGGTGATGGTCTGACTATTAATTTACCCTGTGAACAAGCAGTACAAGGATAATCATTTGCTAAAAGAATCTTCTGGTTCTTTAGTGGATGACCATATGAATTTTCAATGATTCGGCACATCATTGTTGACCCAGGATGACCAAAGCGATCATGCCAAAGTAAAAAAATATTTAGGTCGGAGCACTTCTGGTGCGTCACTACATGTGACTCAATTACTCTTATATTTATATAATACAACCCAGAAGATAAAGCAGGGAGTTTTTCTAATACATGCTTCTAGCATGTAATACAGCGATATTCAATGCCCCCTTCATTTATAGTCTCAATATGATAACCGTTGAGACCTATATCTTTAAAGCTTAATAAATTTCTTTTAAATTTTATAGAGTATAGAGCATCATTAATATTCAATTGTGTTCCACATGGTAACACAATGATAGCTCTTCCGGAGCCTTCAATTAGGTTTGCTGGAGCTGGTATTATATTGACACGAGCTTCAACTAATGTTATACTTGAAAAATATTTTCTATCTTGGAGTATAG